GGACCTGCTTGGTCCCCAGAATGAAGATAGGACAACACATTGACTGTAAACAGATTGAGGTCCCCACAGCGTCCCTGAGACCAGACTTCACACAGATGTTTGCCTGTAGTGAAAGTCCATTTTTCATTTGAGCTGCAGATAAAGAACAAGAAGTGTTTTCAGTCAGAAGAGGAACCGAGTTCACTTCCTCCTGCTCACGCTCGCTGTGTTGCAACATGCTGATGATCAGTGACTGTGTGTTAACTGCCACAGAAAGGGTCAAAGGTCAGAGCGAGTCAGCGTCGCCACACTCCAGGTTCAGAGCTCCGTCACACAGTTTCCAGGAAAAAGTTCTTCCAGGTTTATTTTGAAAGGTTTTTTTAAACGTGACTCAGTTTCATCATGAAAACTTTAAATTCACATAAAATCAGACACATTTTTAACATTAACATCTTTTTATTTCATCAAGATCCAGAACGATCCCCTCCTGTAGTTTGTGTGTTGGCACTAAACTTGTTGCGCTGATGTTTTATGTGTCAGAGAAGAACTCAGATCTGGATCAGAGACATTTTAACACTTTCTTTAACAACACAAACACCAACAACGACACTCGACTTGACTCTCGTCCGTTAACTCAAGTTGAAAACTGTGCTTGTTAGTTTTTGTTCTGTAAATAGTAAATTGTCGAAGTTAATTAAGAGTGAACTGTGACAGTCTGGTCCTCAGACACTGGTTCAGTCATCAGGGGTCGTCATGGAGAGGCTGAGTCTCACTGTTCGCAGGATTTCTATGAAATGGAGGGCGGGACATGACCAAGGAAAAACTCTTTACACTCTGGAACGGGTCTGAATAAAGGGGCGGGGCATTAGCCTGTGGAGGTATGGACTCTCAGAGCGCACTTCTAGTTTTCTGAGAAACAAATGAAAATGTTGAAAAAGTTCACGTTCAGCCTCAGGAGGAAGATGATCAGGGCCAACGGGAATAAAAACATCGTGTTAAAGAAAAGCCCGGATCCGCCGCTGGTCCAGATCCACATCCATTCATTCTTTACCTGTGACACATCCGTCTGCCATGTTTTGGGAAAATGCTCCTCAGGGCGATGGCGGAGTCTCCCAAGTCTGATCGAGTCCCAACACAACCCCCCCGCCCCCTCAGGAGTTAAAGCTCATCTGGGCGTCGTCCGTCTCGTCTCCACTCGTCCATCTGAAGTTTACCTCTGCAGCTGCTCAGCCTCGCACTGCAGCCTCCTGTCGACCAATCACAGCCCGAGTTTCAGATGTTCTGTCCTCGGGTCTCTGAGGTGTAATCTGATTACTTCTGTTTACTCAGTTTTTGACAAAACAAAACAAGACTTTCTCTCCTTCTTTGTTTTTATCATTCCTGTACGCTGGCGACACCGATGTCCGGAGGCTTTATGTTTTCATAGTGCCCAGCCGTCTGTCCGTCTCATTTTTGTGAACGCGATATCTCAAGAAAGTCTTGAGTAAAGTTCTTCAAACTTTGAACAAACACTCACTTGGACTCTAAGATGAACTGATTTGAATTTAGAGGTCAAAGGTCATCGTGAGCTCATATGAGTCTGGAAAAACTGTTGTACATCACACAGAGTCGAACTGTCCCATTAAGAACAGAGTGATTCAATTAATAATAATAATAATAATTGTTTTCATATAGTAGTTTTTCAAATAACGTTCTTCACAAAAGATAAATAGTTTAAGAACCTGCTGGGTCAGGAACTGAGACAGGAAGTGGCCTGAGTTTTCCTGGTTCTGCTTCTGGAGTAACATCTCTGTTGTCGTCCTCAGGCTCTGGACGTGGATCGATCAGTTCTCTACAAGATCAAGAAGTCGGTGAAGTCCATCAGCACATCTGGTCAGAGTGAGTCTGCCACTTCCTGTCTGAGCTACAGATCAATAAAGTTATAAAGTTCAAAATGTGTGAAAACACTTTTTTAACAATATGAACAAACGAATGAAATGTCGCCGCAACAAAAACAAGATATTACAAATGGTTTTAGACGTTTTCATTTGAAACTGTTTAAGGATTCATAAACAACCAGCCAAGAATTTCTGTTTAAAGGAGCAATATTTAAGTTTGTGCTAATGCTGTATATAGCTGACGTTAGCATTAGCGGTTGTTTTTTTCTTCCTTTGCTCACCAACTGTTGCATGAAGCATTAGAAGAAAAGGAAGAAAGAGAAAGCAGCTGCAGTTTTCATCTCCGACGATGTCAGACTAAATTCTTTGGACTCTAAATTACAATGTGAAACTAAAACTAACAGATCAGATGAAACTATGAACCAACGTGAAGCTTCAGACTCTCAGTGTGAGAATGTCCAATGAGTCAGATTCTCGTCCTTCTCGTTACCTTCAGTTCCTCATCAGCCATGTAGGACAAACTGTCTCTGCAGTGATCGGTTCAGTTCTGTATGTCCCTTGGGGGCCACCATACATTCTCCTACATATTCAAACAGGGGAATGGTCAGGGGAGAAAGATTCAGGTCAAACTCTGATGAAAAATAAATTATGCTGAATCATTTCCTGTGAATCAACTAATCAGTCAATCCATAGTTTTACTTCCCGTTCACCTAAATGTGTGAAAGTTTACTGACAAATAAAAGAAAGAAGAAACTCTGTGACTCGTGCTCAGAGAAGAAGAGCTGCAGATCACTGCTGCTGCGTCAGGGTGGTTGGTGGGTTTGTGTTCAAGCAAGTGGAGACTCACCTCCAAACATTCCCATCATGCCGATCTCCTGTCCCAGCATGCCGAGGGGGAGAGAGACGAGAAGAGGCTACGGAACGTTTCTGTCTTCATCTGGAACAAAGACTCCTTCTAAAATATTCACTTTAACAATTTTCAGTTGACAAACTTTTTTCTAATTCATTTAAAATATTTGATTATGAAAATATTTGCTGATTACATTTCATCTCCTCGTTCGACACATACTGACCTGAGTTTAATTCATATTCATTCATGGATTCAATCATTTCAGGATCAGAATGAACTTTATTGATAAAGTAGGAAAGATATTTTCGGTACACAATACTGAAGGTGATTCCAGAAAGGTTCAGACCAGAGGTGGCGCCAGAACATTGACGTTAAGTTACAGCTTAAGTTTGAAGTCTGCCCTCATCTGCTTTGTGTGTGTTCAGCTCATGTGGACAACGAGGAGCAGTACATCCAGTCCTTGGAGAAGTTCGGAGACAACTGTGTCCGCAAAGAGGATGCAGACGTTGGCTCCGCCTTCCTGAAGTTTGCCGTCTTCACCAAAGAGCTGAAGGAGCTCTTCAAAAACCTGGTGAGGAACTGAAACATGGACGTGAGTGGATCCGTTGAACATCCAGTGAAACGTTGGAGCGCTGACATGATTCTCTGTTCGCAGCTGCAGAACATGAACAACATCATCACGTTCCCTCTGGACAGTTTGTTGAAGGGCGACCTGAAAGGAGTGAAAGGGGTTTGTGTTGAGTTTCCTTCATCAGCCTGAACTCTTCAAACATCGCACAGTCACCCAATCCTGAGTCAATCTCAGCTGTCAATCATGAATTAAAACCAAACTGATCAGAAACACTTGAACAAACGTCAGAGAGATCAGAACGAGCTGAAACGACAGAAACATCTTTACAAACATTTATTTAACGTCTACTTTGATTTTTAGTTTGGTTCATGTCCCACCTGCTAACATGGAGGAGGTTTATCACCTATACTGCAGCCAGACACCAGGAGGAGACACTTTGGCTTCAGTTCAGAGAAGCCGTCATGTCGTCCTTTATTTACAGTCTGTGGTTTTAACTTCTGTCTGAGACCAATCAGCAACTCAATGAACAAGGGTACATTTTCAGACTCCACCCACACGACTGTTGCTATGGTTACACCTGGCGGAGTCTTGTGTTTTGGTCTGAACAGAAACTGAGACTTTTGTAAACCGAGACGCCCACATTCTCTTCCTGGTTCTCATCAGTCACATGACTCGACTTTAATTGAAGAATAATGTAAAATAAATCAAATGAAGCAGGACTCAGTTTCCTCTCTGACTAATCATGTGACGTCTCCTCCTGCAGGACCTGAAGAAGCCGTTCGACAAAGCCTGGAAGGATTACGAGACCAAACTGTGAGAAAACAAATCCGCTCTCAGCACATTTATCAGTTCTCACAGTCACTCTGCGGAGGAACGTCTTCTTCTCCTCGTCGCTGATGAAAACATCAGGACCAAGTTTTCATAAGAAACAAAAAAAGACCAAAGCACAAGAAAATGAAAGGATCCTGTTTTCATGAGAAAAAGTTTTTAAGATAAATCTTTCAGAATAATGGAGGAAACAAAATGAACACAGATCTTTCTGTACATTTTTACACATCTTTGACTTCTGCAGAGTGAAGCTGGAGAAGGAGAAGAGGGAGCACGCCAAGCAGCACGGGATGATTCGGACGGAGTTCAGTGGAGGAGAAATCGCAGAGGAGATGGAGAAGGAGCGACGGATGTTCCAGCTGCAGATGTGTGAGGTGAGGTCATCCAGAGGTCACGTTGATTTACACGTCTCTTGAACGAACGTCACACGACACTGGTTCCCACTTTCATCCACTCAGACAGGAGATGTTAAAGAATGAAGGAACTCTATGGAGGCCCAGAGTGGCCTAAATTCTCATCTATTTCAAAGTGGACTCTTTTTCCTCATGTGAAATGTTTGTCAGTCAAAAGAACAATAAGTTGTTATTTATTAGTATTTATTTAGTTATAATGTGGAAATGATAACTTTGTATCTCACAATAAAGTTTCTCATTGTTCTTTTTTACATCATGATGTTTATTTCTCAAGAAATCCTTTTTTTCTGCAGTATCTCCTCAAAGTGAACGAGATCAAAGTGAAGAAAGGAGCTGACTTCCTCCAGAACCTCATCAAGTATTTCCATGCTCAGTACAAGTACGTCACGGAAACACGTTCATGTAAATGTCTGAGTCTAACCGTAGATACGTTTGTGGTTCATTTAAACATATGATAATAATAATACAATTATAAAAATGGAGAAAACAAACATCCCATTGGTTAATTCCACTAATTCCACTTCACACAATGAGATCATTTATATTTAGATACATTTAGAGAATTGTGCTTTATATCTGTTTGTTGATTTCTGCATATAATTATATTATTATTGTACGTTAAAAGTCGATCTTTATTTTGGAGCTTTAAGGGTTTTTCTTGCGTCTGTGTTCAGTTTTTTCCAGGACGGACTGAAAGCTGTGGAGAGTCTGAGGCCTTCGGTGGAGAAACTGTCGACAGACTTGACCACGGTGAGAACGAGAGACGAGATTCGAGGATATAGTGAAGAACCGGGGTTAGCTTCTGTGTCTGTGTCCCTCAGATTAAACAGAGTCAGGACGGAGAGAGGAAACAGCTGAATCAGCTCCGAGACGTCCTGAAGGCTTCGCTGCAGTCTGAGCCCAAAGAGGTGGGCTACACAACTACAACTCCCAGAGTGCACCTCGGCAAGAAACATCCAATCAATGAGCTCAAAATTATGTCTCTGAGAAACAACGTCAATATTCACGGTCATCAGAGGACGATCAGTGACTTTATATAAAGACCATCATCGTCAAGTTGTCTTTATATAAATTATATATTTAGCACCAAGACAAACTTTGCATCATAGTATGTTGTTTCTTCACACTTCCTGCCAACGCCTCCAGGGGGCGTTGGCAGGAGGCTAACGTTGGGTTTGTGTCTCAGGATTCTCAGGCGAAGCAGAACGTAGGTTACAGCCTCCATCAGCTGCAGGGAAACAAGGCCCACGGCACCGAGTGCTCCGGAGTCCTCTACAAGAAAAGTGAAGGGTGAGTGAACTCCATGTCCCAGAATCCCTCAGGAAAAGAACTCTGGCGTGCAGCGGAGTTCAACTGACTCCATGTGTCACTGCATGTGTATGTTCTTCATCACCTGTGTGAACTGTCCTCCTCAGGCTGAGGAAGGTGTGGCAGAAGAGGAAGTGCGCGGTGCGGAACGGTTTCCTGACCATCTGCCACGGCACGGTAAGTCGCCAGATACTCTTCTCCTATTGGTCCTCCTGCATGACAAGCTCCCGCCCATAAAACGGACATTTTATGTTAAATCTGCGGCCTCTCCTGGTTCACCTCCCTGCTCCTCGTCTCGCAGGCCAACAGACCTCCAGCCAAACTCAACCTGCTCACCTGCCAGGTGAAGAGGAACCCTGAGGAGAAGAGAAGCTTCGACCTGTTCTCACGTACGCTGCCGACCCATCGCTCCTCACGCATCGACACACAACACGTCTTTTTGTCTCATTCTCGTCTCCTGTCCGTCTCCCCCCCTCAGACGACAGAACCTATCACTTCCAAGCCGAGGA